ACATCTTTTAATTAATGCCCTTATTGTGACAGTGTGCTACTGTCACTTCCAGAAGAATCTATTCCCTTAAATATTAATTAGAGACTGAACTTATGGTTGCTTCTTTTATAATAATTTCATAAAATAATAACTTTAGACTATACTTTTTGGCCAACAGTCCAGTTCTTTGCAAATGACCACAGTTTCAGAGCTCATTTGTCACTTTCAATCTAAATTCCTATTGAGCAATAAAAATAGTCTCTATAACCCAACATAAAGCAAAGGGGCAACACCATTCTATATGACTCGAGCTGATATTAACCTCCCTAGCGGTCTGATTATGTCAGTATTTCTGTGCTCAAAGCGGTACATTGTTTTCAGTGGAAATATGTTGTTTTTTTATAGTAGGCCTGTAATTCTTATGAATAACTCACTGAAATCTGTCTGAACAAGAGTCTAGTAAACATCCCGGGTATGATAAAATTTGAAACACGAAATCATAAATAACATAATAAATAATCAAAAAATAATAATATAATAATAATACATTTTATTCAATAATGTAATCAAACCAAAAACACTGAAATTTAAAATATAGCGCCAAGTTCGCACATCACTGAGCTCAATCACAGAATCGTTTTCAGTGTCTGATGACGAATTTCCGCACTAATCATTATCACTCAATTCTGCAAGTGGTTCTAATTTACTATCGTTGTTCTCTAGCTGGTCTAAAACCACTTTCAACCTAAAGGGACTCTTTTTGGATGCCATGGAGGAGCTGACATGCATTTCTTTTAAATTTTTTGTTGCTGTTCTGTCTCTCAATGTTACAATACACCTACCATTCGATTTTTAGACTTATCATTTTTTTGTGAGTGGGCAAACATTCAAAATCAGCGGGGGATCAAATACTTTTTTCCTTCACTGTATGTATTTTGCGTTTGATGCTTTCTCCAGTGCTTTTTGCAGTTTGTTTTGCATTTTTCTACATGCATTTTTACCATGTTTTGCGTTTTGTTCGGCTCTTTTTTTTTTGTAAAAGTGTGAATTTTATTTGTTTCTGAGCAGAATAAATGTGCAAAATGCAGCAAAAACGTGGCAAAAACGCACTACCATGCATTTCAGCAGCTTCTCCATTGAACTCTTTAAAAAGCAAAAAGCAGCATTTTTGCTACAATAAAGTCCCTGACCCTTTCCGAAAATGCAGCAACTCAAAAAAGCATAGATGTGAACATGTTCCATAGGAAACCATGTTAAATGGACTGTAGTGCATTTCTGCAAAAGGTACTAAAAAACGGATTGGTGTGAACGGAGCCTAAAACATTGTTCTCCAGATCCTTCAAAAATGTTTCACAAATGCTTGTCAATAGCTAAACACAAACCTGTGGGTACACATTTTGATGTTTTCTGTAATTTGTCCTTTTAGTCAGTTCAGAGTTGTTTCTAACCACTGTCCACACCTCCTCTCTTTGTGTTACCCATTAAGGTTTTTCCAACTGACTCTTTTTTTTTTTAACCCCCATCTTTGTAGGCTCCTGCACCTGTCTCAGGGATCACGGGGAGTGAGGTCCAAAGTGGCAAACGATCAGACAGATATAATGCTGGATAAAAAGCCAGTCAGGGGTCACCATTTTGTTTCATTCTTTACTTGTAAGACATGAAGAAGGGGATTTATCTAACACCGGAAGTGTATTGGCTATCTATGTTAAAAAAAAACAATAATGTCTTCACTTGACCATTCAGATAATCTATTCTATTGACATTCTAATATATTTTTTTTATACCTGTGGTACCCAAAGAGTGGCCAGTGGGCCAGATTAATTTCTTTGCTTGACTTTATCTGGCCCTTGGGTCATTAGTCTTTCCACTTGTAAGCAGGTGCTTCCAATTGGTTAAAAGTTTTCCTTCTCTTGTGTTCATGGAGTTACTCAGGTCAACTGTACTTATATGTACAGACATAATGTTACAATGTATCTTTTTGCTAAATTTTCCCTAAGTTTGTCCTTGGTTGACCTGCTAGGTTCGTAGATTTGAGACGGAAGAACTCTGCCAGGTTTCCTGCTCTTTTTTCAGAAGGTTACTGTCCCCTACAGGTCATATCATATAAATAGGGGCTTATTGGTGCCCCAAAGAAAGGCTGGAGTTTTCTCCAGCAAGATGTAACTGTTACTCTGTCGGTCTGATCCCCCATTTTGGGAGTCCAGTCAGGGTTCCCAATGGGATCTGGAACCTAAGGACTTACATAGACTTAAACTAATTGTTGTATGGATAACTGCCAAATCATGGACTCTATGGATTACTTGTTACCTCTTGTGGATTACTGCCTAAATGGATTCTTTCCTTGTGAAGATTTGCTTTATGGACTTTGCTGCTAACTACTATGACTACCTCAGTGGCAGATCTCTATACAGGTATGTACTCTGTACAGGACCCAACCTGGGAGTCTCTAGAGTCTCAAGAGTTATAGAGAGAGGCCTTGGGAGAGGAACAAGCATTGTGATATGTAAAATGTGTTTCCTGTATCCAGCAGCAAAAGGTGGACCAGTTACTGGGAGTGAGGTGACGAGTTGGTGGAGACGGGTACATGCTCTGTGGTACCAGCTCAGAAATGCTGCACACCTAGGAAAGTGGTGTTCTAACAGTAGTTGTGTCTGAAGTGCTTAGAATTAACAGTGTAAGAAGTTTGGCCACAATTATTTGCACTGACACAAACAAAGGGCAAATTTCCTCTAATTAACACCAACAATGGGCACAATTCTTTTACACTGACATCAGTGATGCAATGATGGGCATATTTCCTCCCACTGAAACCAAGAGTGGGCACATTTCCTCCCAATGACACCAACAATGGGCACAATTCCTCCCCATGGCACCAATGCAGTTCCTTGTTCCTTCCACTGATTCCAACAATGCAGTGTTATTCCTTACTGATACCAATGATGGAGCATTATATTTTTTTACTCCCACCGACCGCCAACCCTGGATCACTTCTTACTCCCACTGAGCTAGAGGTTTTTGTTTATTCCCACGGATTACTGATGCCGGGCATTTTCTACTCCTACTGGGCACAGTCTGACTCCCCTAAAGCTGCTCGCACTGCAAGGGACATCTGCTCCCTCTTCACTCCAGAAATGGACTGCCCCTCAGCATTCTTGCCTCCAACACAAGTCTATGGTTGGACAGCTGGCCATTTGACAATTTGAAACCTCCATTGGGCCCTATGCATGACTACACAGACAAGGGGATCAAATACATACTGTACATAATACACAAAATGAGAAAGAATATATATCATTATTCAATATGTCTAGCTAACACTGCAAAACAATGTGTACTTTTAAACTATTTATTATTCTAAGATGAAGTCTAGCAAGAATTATCAATATAGTGCTAGAGGCATTTGAAAAACTAGTAGCCGTGTATAGGCAAAGTTTTTTATTTTAGAAAGTAAATAATTACAGAAAAAGAAAAACTACTCTAATATTCCACTGGTGCTTAAAACTGTATATTCCTTGTAGCAAAATTTGCAAGGAAATAGTGATACAACAAATATATAAGATAAAGTGGAAAATTCACTTTAAAGCAGTATTCAATCCCCAAAGCAAATTATTATTATATTGCAGCTTAAATAATTAATTCTTAGATGTGATGGCAGCATTCGTTTTTTTTTTACGCTTTCTTTCTTCTATTTTCAGAGGCTGTGATAAAACAAAAGAAATCCAAGGACAGTTGTCGTGTCACCAACCACTACTACAGAATGCTTACCAGAAAGGCATGCCCCTGATGACGTTACCTGTGACGAAACTCGTAGGGTGGAGCCTTGCACACATGCTACTGCGCATGCCCAACGGCTGGTGGGCATTTTGGAAACTGGAAAATTTTGATTTTTTTTTTTTTGCCAATCAATGCTTAATGATTTTTGCTTACATGTGAGTGCAACCATACTTTAAATAAATGTTGTGATTATGGTTTTACACTATGTGGAGTGTTCTTTCTTTGCATGTTTTCCACTAGGAGTCCAAGGCTTATCCTGAATGGTTTAGCTACCCTAATTAAGGTCCATTGTTTGGAAGATCCTTATCTGCTGTTTTGGTGATCTGGATGAGGATTCACGGTTTTCTGGATTGTTTTACAAAGCGCGATTCACCACTCTTAACAGGGGGTCATGTCATGCCTTTCTGGTAAGCCTTCTGTAGTAGTGGTTGGTGACAGGACAACTGTCCTTGGATTTCTTTTGTTTCATCACAGCCTCTGGGATTTTTCTTTTCTTTTATTTTTGGATGGACTATTTTTTGACACATTTTTCACTACTTTCTTATGATTATTTGTAACCTTTTTAAGTGCACACTTTATATGTTTATTGTTGCTTGCCTAGTATCAGGGTTTTTGTGTTCAGCTGCTATATGTTTTATACCTCATTCTTGATTATGTATTGTGGTTCTTATTAGCGCAGGTTTATATATATATACTTATCCTTTCTTCTATTTTCTTCTGGTGATTGGCCAGTAAGTCTTTTATTTTTTAAAAGAACAAGCTGTTCTTCAGATGTATCGGTTTATAAAGATGAGACAAACCATTTATCACTGACAGTGATTACAGTTATTTATATATGTAAAACATTTATCCTAAAAGTAAAACAAACTTCTTGCTGTAACTGCTAATAAAGCATGAGCTGAAGTTTGGCTTATGTATTTTAATCTGCTAGTATATTTAAAGAGTAATTCCACTTGTATTGAGAAAAATAACATTCTCCTCCTGGGCGATCTATGTACATTGCAGGGATTTTACCAAACGTTGTTGCAGATTCCTACCTTTTGTTATTCAGATGAAGTAGATGTTTGTTTGTCTGTGTCCAGGAGCAGACTGACCATTTGGAAACTCAGGCACTGCCCGAAGGCCTGGGGTCAGTAGGGGGCCCCATGAGATGCCCCTGGTACCTTTTTCATAGGCTTTTTTGAGTTTGGGCAAGGACACAGGGGCCCCATGATCCCCTATTGCCCGGGGGCCCCATGAGTTGTCAGTCCGCCCCTGTCTGTGTCCAAATGCTGAGTGAATCTGTATGGAAGTGATTTCATAATTATCTATCAGCTGCTGCATCTGCAGGGCTCTAATGAGCAAAACTGCAGGGTCTACATCCCTGTAGACAAGAATTCCCTTTGGGAGTATCTCACTAAAAATTACATTTTTGTTATCTTGTGTCACAGTGCAGACTTCTGGGAAATTCAGTGAGCCAATCATGCAAGTAGGAGATGACATATGTGGGGACCTTCTGTACACCATCTGTGTACAGAACACCTTAAAACAGAATTCCACAGAAACTCCTCTTATTTGCCTTCTCCTCCTCCACGGCCATATCTGGCACCTTTTAGGGGGGAACAGATACCTGTTTTTGACAGTTTTTGTAGCCACTGACTTTTAATAAACACAAAACTGGCTCGAACTCCACTTTAAGGTAGCCATATTGCATTGCGTTTTACAGAAAATTCAATTACAATATTGCTTGTGTCGCAATTGTATGCGCTATATTTTTTTTTTCTATTAGCTTTTTTTTCATGAAAGTGGAGTTACCCTTTAACACTACCCTTCCCCCAGAATGACAATACTGCTGTCTGCTATGCCCTTTTGCTCTTTCATCCAGAGTGGGGGCCCTCTAATACAGGAGAAGTCTTACTGGTCAGATCACCAGAAGAACACAGAGGGAAAAAAACAAACGAATGCAGCCATCACATCTAATGATTAGTAAGCTGCCATATATTGCATTTTTGGTTTTGGCTTTAACTTTGGCTAGCTCTACAGAACTGGTTACATGCTCAGCATATATTTGTTGTGCATGGCCATTCTTTGGCAGCAGAGTGGCTAAGTGCTTAGCACTTCTACCTGGCAGTACTAGTATCATTGGTTCAAATCCCAGCCAGAGTGCCACCTGCCTGGAGTTTGCATGTTCTCCCTGTGCCTGTGTCGGTTTCCTCCCGGTACTCCAGTTTCCTCCCACGCTCCAAAGACATGCTGGTAGGTGAATTGGATCCTGTCTAAATTGGCTCTAGTATGTATATGAATGAATGTGGGTTAGGGATCTTAGATTGTACGCTCCTTGAAGGTTAGGGACTGATGTGAATGTACAATATATATGTAAAGCGCTGTGTAAAATTGATGGCGCTATATAAGTACCTGAAATAAGTAAATACATTCTTGGATTTATTCCGGAAGTAAGAGGGAAAGTGATAGCCATGCACAGAGATGGAATATTCACAAGGCAATCTAGGCAGGAACCTAGGGCCCCATGAATGTCTAGAAAACCAGAGGGAAAGCGCAAAAGGTCAAATCTGTGCACCTGTCTGTCACTTTGCAAGGAAGGAAGTACTTGTAGGCAGGTGATGCCTGATAGGACCATACCAGTACAGACAATACAAATGGGTGGTATCTCTGTGTGTTCAGTGATCCTTATCAATGTCAGTTGAAGGGATGCAAGGGTCAAAGTTGCTACCTTGAATAGTGCCTCATTCTGCCTGAATCCATCTCTGGCCTTGAATTTGTTTTACACATATATATATATATATATATATATATATATATATATATATATATATATCATATTTCAGTTGTTTTATTAATTAATATTACATTTCTATTAATGGTAACTTTATTGTTTGTCATTGTTATTTTGTGCCTTCATAAACGTAACTGTATCTTAATCATTTTCCTTGGTATTAATAAAGTATTATGCATCTGAATCTGAGTCTGAATATATGTAGTTTAGTAAAATTAGTAGAATGTACAATTGGAAAAGAAGCAGATTTCTGGTTAAAGTGCCACTAATAGATGCAATTAACTGTATGAACAGTCTACTGTGTAAAAAGGTACTACCGTAATTTTGCTATTTTCATAACTGGGGTAGAAGCGCCATAGCTATGTACATTTATATGAGATTGTGTACCTTATTTCTGGATGTCATGAGGGTAATGATTTTTTATGCATGATCCTGCAGCAGGGGTGACAGCTGCATACCGGGCAAAAGTTTCTAGTGATTGTGATGACATATTGTTTGTATTGCTGCGGTTATGTCCTTCACAACCCACAAAAATAATCAATATGGAGAAATTGATTCCAGTTACAGTACCTCTTGGCAAGGAGCTTAAAGTGTGAGGAGGAGAATGTAACAGAGGATCCTGCACAAGTAAAAAGAGCTAGAAGCTTTTGAATGGCATATTTTAAAGATAAACTTAAAGTATACCTATGCAAAAAACAAAACAAATCATATATGTGATCAGCAGTGAATGCCATTGAGCATATCCCTGTTGTTCTATGAGCTCTCTTTATCCCCAAACATTCCTGATGATCCAACATATAAGATCATTGGAACCTCACTTCATTTTATTGACTGACAACGCTGAGACATGGACTTTGTGTTTCCTTTAGGATTGTCACCCTTCCAGGTTTTGGCCAAAAGTTCACTATAATTGGACCTGCCAATGAAGCTTATGCTGGCACATCACTCCCTCGTCCTTGCTTAATCTCCTGCATTGTCAGCACTTCCAATGAATCATGAGAAGTGTAGTTTAGGCTGTACACGATGACATTGATTTACCAAAGGCAAATAGACTGATTGCTCCAGAGCTTAGTAAATGAGATAAAGCTTCAATTTGCGAAGAATACCCATCTGTGTAACACCCTGCTACAATTGTATGCAGGATGTTAAAATGAACACAACATGGCAGTGTCCTGCAGAACAGTGGCATTCACACTCTGTAGACCAGCCCCATGAAACTTGTATGCTGAACTGCAGGACCTTGCTGAGGAGCATTGTAGCAAAGAACCACATTTCCCAGAGGAGTTGACGTGTGGGTGGAGACATATATATATATATATGAAAGCCAGGGAGATGAGGCAAGAAGAGAGTGGGGAGATATCTGGAGAGAGGAGTGCACTGACTGCTTGAGGATCAAACCAGGCCATGGAAAGAGAGAAAGAGAGGAGGCAAGGAGGGTCTGCTGATCACTGACTTTACTGCATCGTGGAGAAAGCTAATCTGCTAGCAGGTGAATGGACAGAACACTGCAGGCGGGATCAGAGAGTGTGTGGAGGCCTTATCGAAGGAGAGAGAAAAAACCGCCAGAATTCGCCAGATGCCATCCCTCTGGTGAGAGAGCCCCATGCATTATCAAGGAAATGGATACCTGCTCCACTTTTACTATTTTCCTGCACACAGTCATTAGAAGTTGCAGCCTAGATCCTTGAGCTGCTATTGTCTGACTACACTTAGCACAGCCTTATCATCAGAACTGATAGCAGGATAGTCGGTCCACAGGCGTGAACCACCGCTGCGTCACCATCATCATCAATTCACTTTGCTAGGGAGGTCTTTTCCCTATTGTACCAAAAGTCTTCTAACCCAAAGAAGAGTTTCCCTGTGCCAACAATCACTTTTATATGGATTGGCCACTTGTTGCTTCAGATTCACTAGTGACTAGTGCCTAAAAGGAACATTACATCTGCAAAATTGCTGCTTCCAGGGGGAGTGTTATTTTATTCTCTTTGTTTATGCTATGTGAACCAAGGGCCTCATCATGTGTGCTGAAAGAACATTGGTTTTTTGCTACAATCTCCTTGCCATCAGGTCCTGAGGGTCCAAAGTGAGCTAGCCTGTTTGAACTTAGCTGCTCCCTAGGGACTGAAAGACCATCTCAGTCGAAGGTGAAAAAGCAGGCCTTAATACAATTTAAATTTAAATTTCCCTAAGTTCAAATTGACACACTCCCATTTTGTTTATGCTGGCCATACTGAAGTTTGCTACAAACCTCTTACTAGTTAACTTAAATCTGTGTGAATTCACTCTCTGGTGGTGATCTATTTCTGTTAAGAGTGTGCCGTGGTGTCAGCAGGTGTTGGGCTTTCAGAGTGGGGCCCAGATCCACAGAGAACCCAAAAACAATTCAGCAACTCCTAAGGGGTTAGTGCTACACATGAAAGGAGAATTTAAAAAAAAAACATAATTTTTACTTGCACATGATTGGATGATTGAAGTCAACAGAGCTTGCTCTCATTTATTAAGCTCTGGAGCAGGGGTGGACTTACAACTCATGGGGCCCCCCAGCATTAGAGGATCATGGGGGCCCCTGTGTCCTTGCTCAAACTCAAAAAAGCCTATGAAAAAGGTACCAGGGGCATCTCATGGGGCCCCCTACTGACCCCGGGCCCTCGGGCAGTGCCCGAGTTTCCAAATGGTCAGTCCGCCCCTGCTCTGGAGCAATTGCACGTCCAAAGTGCACAGTCTATTTGCCTTTATTAAATCAACCTCTATAAGTCACAATCGTATATGGTTGCTGCTACAACTTAAAGATACACATTCCTGGTTCATTGAGGCCAAAGTGGTTGCGTAAAGTCCATATACTCACCTCTCCAGTACACCGTCACCTGTCCTTCTGACTGACACCAAAACACCTAGCATTTATGGGTATGGGAGAGCTCGTGAACTTCTTGCATGATGCAATCCTTGGGTCTAACAGTTAATTGCTAGCCCCAAGTACTGTATTATTACAGAGAGAGTGATGCCACCACTGCCACTTAACGTATTTTGGTGGTGGTCACTACAGTGGAAGAAACATCTAGGGAGCATTGGAGAAGATAGTGTTAACAGCCACACAGACCTCCTTGCATACTCCAGTGGTACCATACCAATACAATGTAAATCTAGCCCTTCACATCCAAAACAAAATATTGCTTTGGCTCCTTTTAAAGGATAAGTTCACCTTTGGAAACATGTTAAATTTTCCACCCGTTCTTAGGGTGGAACATGTTCCCATAGCCGCCGCCCTCCCCCCTTCCCTCTGACAGATAATATGGGGAGAAGTCTCCTCATACTATTTGTCAGATTTGAAAACAGCGCAGCCATGGGGGGTCCACCCACACATACCCGTAGGAGAATTGCCAGTTGCATACATGCACGCAGGAATGCGCGATCGCGCACATGCACACGCACGGCGAAGATTCGCTCCAGACGGCCCATTTAAGGAGTGCCTCTGCTCAGGTTCAGTGCTGACTGGTCTTCAGCTCCCCTCGTGTCCTGCTAGTTCTGTACGATTCCTTTGTTGCTGACCAGGCTTGTTCCTGA